AGGTTCCAGTCTTCTGCTGCTTTGTACATCGCTTCAGTCGGGTCCATGGTGGTTCGGGATTCGGCTCGAACCTCTTGTGATACCTGCTCTGGTGTCTTAACGACCGCGGCGCAGCCGCCTGGTAGAGGGTATAACTGCATCTTGTGCGCCCAGCTGGCTGCACATGCCGCTGAACCTGGATCTGCTGCAAAACGTCGCTGCCTAGGTCCTCGCTTTTTGCAGGCTAAAATGCGTGCAATCTTCTGAACTAAATAGTTGTTCTGTTCTTTTGCTGCTTGCCGTATTTCAGTGCATCTGCGTTCTTGTATCTCTTGCCAGTGCTGTTGACTATGCTCTCTGATGCTCTTGCTCAGCTGCTTGATCTTTGCGGTGTGCTCCTCATCATCTCTAGCTGCTGCTCGTAGGGTCCGACGCTCGGCTAGGAGGCTCTTGAGGGACTCCAGGTGTTTCTTGTGGCTCTCGGTGTACAGGGGGGACTCGCTGAGGACCTCTATGGTGGCCTGGTTGAGGACTTCCATGAAGATCTGGTTCATCTTCTCTAGATCCCCAGATTCACCAGCTTGGCCAAACTCTTGCATCCTACCCGCGGCCGCTCCATGGCCTCCAGAACCTCCGTGCGCTTGAAGCCTGTCTGAACACACTGGTAGAGGGCCTCACGATTGGGACGCGGTTCTCGGTGGGGCCCAGACGAGGCTGCAGGGCGAGCATGAAGGGCAACGACAACTGGTTTGTGATCCCTGCTTTCTCGATGTACTGCAATATGCAATCTCTTCGCGCTTGATGTGAGCACCTGTACCCTCTCTAGCATGCCAAGAAGGGCGACAGGGACAACAACGTGATCAATGAAGCTCTCCGATCCCGTGTTGGAGGTGAAGGTGGGAGGACAATCTCTGTGGGTGTTGGCGCTCGTCATCTCCCATCCTGCTAGAAAAGGCCGTAGTCTGGCAGAGCTCGGGGTCGTCTTTCCTCTACCAAATCTGCCTGCGACACCATCCTGCGTGGAGTGGGGCAGCCCAGCGTTCAAGTCTGAAAAAATGAGTGGTAGTGCACCTCGTTCTCTGGAAAAGACATCGCTTCACTGAGCCATATGTTCAACTGATCCAATGTATGTTCATACACAAGACGGGCAGCTCGAGTAGTCTCGCGTGGGGGATAGTAAACAACGCAGACTCCGTACATGATCCCTCCTCTCCGGAGTAGCAGCTCAAGACAGCGCCCCCACAGGGTTTTGGGGACTGGAATGATTCTCTTGAGTGAGGACATCGGGAATCTGGACCTTCGCAACAACACGGTCACGCCACATGCCTTGGATGTAAGTGCGCCCTACGAGTACCCATATTCAATAGCGTTGTATGCACCTATTCCCCTGGTCTCCTCCCACTGCTCTCCCTTCGACTTCATCTGCGTGCCCGTCAGCGCGATGATGTCCTTAACGCCAAGTTCCGTCGCCATGTCAAGTAGACGAGCGTGTGTGTTGGGCACCATAGGATTGTACTGCACGATGCGGAGCAGACCTGCATTTGCCGAGGGCGCAAGACCGCCGTCTGACATGTCGCCGCGGGGCGAGGGGAGTGTGCCCCTCGGGCAATTCGGGGAGGTGGGAGATGGTAGGGTGGCGCGCTCCTTGGCACCTCATCTGGGCCACCTGGAGGAGGAGGAGGAGGAGGAGGAGGAGGAGGAGGAGGAGGAGGAGGAGGAGGAGGAGGTCGAAGCAAAAGAAATCGGCGAAGAGGTTGCTGGCCATTTTCAGCCTACGGTGGCCACCTTCGGGGCGCGGGACCGTCAACGCCCCCCCCCCGTGGAAGGGCGTGCACTTTTCACGGGGGCCGTGAGGACGGCCCGGGGGGCCAGGAACAAAGCGGGCCGCCGTGGCAGAACACGGGGCCGCTGTGGAAGAATCGCCCCCCGGTGGAAGAGCGCCTCGTTTTTTCGCGGGTGCCGCGAGGACCGCTCCAGGGCCACGCAGAGCCCCCTCGCGGGCAGCCGTGGAGACAGGAAGCAGCACAGGCCCGACCCCGCGGGGCGCGTGGAGGCCTACGTGGGCCGAGAGCATCTGGCCGCTCCGCGGCCGCATCCTGCTCCCGCCTGGCCTCTCCTCCTCCTCCGCCTCCTCCCCCCCTCCTCCCCTCCTCCTCCTCCCTCCTCCTCCTCCTCCTCCTCCTCCTCCTCCTCCTCCTCCTCCTCCTCCTCCTCCCCCCTCCTCCTCCTCCTCTCCTCCCCTCCTCCTCCTCCTCCTCCCTCCTCCCTCCTCCTTCCTCCCTCCTCCCTCCACTCCCCCTCCTCCTCCCCCTCCTGCTCCCGCCGCAGCTGGCCGCGGGCGCATCCATGGCCGACCGCCTGTCGGATCCAGCTCGCGGCGGACCAGAGAGAGGGCTTGGAGACAGCAGCTCTGGGGGCCCGCGCTCGGGCGGGCCCGGGGTGGAAGAGAGGTCGCGCCGGCGCGTCCCGCGGAGCGCTCTCGGAGCGTCTGGGAGCGCTCTGAAACGGCCGCGGCACCTGACAATCACCACCTACCAGACCACCCCAACCCAACCCGAAGGCATCAATTTATCCTCGATTTCCAGTGGGGGGGGGTCGGGGAACGTTGAAAAAACACGTGGTATCCGTACCCCCCCAACCCGAAATTCGGGTCAAATTCGGGTCTTCGGGTTGGGTTGGGGTGGTCTGGTAGGTTCCAGGCCCGTCAGCTCTCAGAGGGTTTTCCATCGGAGTGTATCTTCATCTTGCCTTCGTCCCGTGCGTCGCGAAACAACAGGTTACGGCGTCTCCTCCTCCCCCCCTCCTCCTCCTCCTCCTCTTCCTCCTCCCTCCTTTGCTCAAGCAGTCATGGTCGAAGCAGCCTGACTGGTGTCCTGCCCGACCATATCTGAATGGCTGCGCCCTGGGCCGCCGCCATTCCCAGAGCGAGCCGTCTTGGGACCACGTTCGGGCTATCCAGAGGCACTCTGGGCCTTATTGGGCTGTTTCGGGACCGTCAAATACTGACTCAGGATGGACTGCCTGTCCTGGGGAAGGAGTCCAGACCTCTGGGGAGCCACGTTGTAAAACAAACACGACGGAGGATGTCTGGGTCTTTTGGGGCACCGTGTGGCTTCTGGGGTCATACTGGGGCTTCTGGGGATGTTCGATTGATGCTCCTTCTCCTCGTCCTCGTCCTCCTCGTCCTCTTTCCTCCGTCTCCGTCTCCTCCTCCCGTCTCCTTCTCCGTCCGTTTCCCGCGCCTCCGTCTCCTCCTCGTCCTCGTCCTCTTTCCTCCTCGTTCCAGCTGTGGCCTGCGATCTCCTGGCAGTGCGACTTGGTTCGCAGTGGCAGCCGATGTGTGAGATGTGGGTGGCTTTTCGGAGGGTGTGCCCCCGTTGCAGGAAACACCTATTGAGACTTCTGGGGGGCCATCCTGGAGGAGGAGGAGGAGGAGGAGGAGGAGGAGGAGGAGGAGGAGGAGAAGGAGGAGGAGGAGGAGGAGGAGGAGGGAGAGGCCGCGGTGCGGAGCTGCGAACAAATATTGAGACTTCTGGGGGGCCATCCTGGAGCTCCGCGGCAGTGTCTCTTGATTTTGGTGGGCCATCTTCGGCGACCTGGGAGGCATCTTTGGGTCTCTCTGAGCCAGCGTCGGGCAGTTTTTGGGCAGATGCCTGCGAAATAGTGTGGCTTTCGCCGTGCCTTCTGAAAGCACCCCCTTGAGACATCAGAGCATCAAGACAAGCGACCTGCAACATCACCGAAGGCCTCGTGTGTTCTTTCCTGTGCCGTTGACGGCAACACCCCACCGCACACCCTCCGGATCTTCGCCTCCGGCTCCTGTCCCAGGCGTTCGTTTTCTTGTGCAAGCTCCTCGGCACCGCCTGCACCCCGGCCCGCCCTCCGGCCGCCTGAGGCCCCGCCCGCCTGTGCCCTGTCTCCCCAATTAGAGCTGTGTCTAGCCCGCCTAGCTTTTACCGGAAGAGGTTCGCTCTCGCCCCGCAGACCAAAAAAATGTTATTTCCTGTTGGCCTTCTCGGGGGCGTCGTGGGGCTTCTTGGTGGGGGCTCGCAGGGCCCTCCCGGCCTTTTCCAGGATGCTTCCTCGAACCCTCTCGGGCCTTCTGGGGCTCTCTGGTCCCTCTTCGGGGCCTCTTGGGGCCGTCCCCTTCCTCCTCCCCTCCCTCCTCTCGGCGTGCCAGTGATGTACGTAGCGTTCAATGTTTCCAGCCCTGGCTGCAGGTCTGGAGTCGTCAGTCACAGAGCCACAGCTGCCGCGATCAGCTGCCCAATCAATCAATCAATCCTGGAGGCAGCTCGAGCCTCCTCGGCCGACTGGTGGCGCCCCCCATGGGGACCCTGGGGCAACCTGCAGCGGCCCGGGAGCTGAGGGGCACCTCCGTCTGGGCAGTCTGTTTCGACGTCGCGGTTCCCCCCCTTGCTGCGAGGAGCAGCTGTGAGGGAGCGGAGTGAGGAAACAGCATCCTGAGGGGAAGGGACCCGTCTTCCCATCACGCCAGGGGCGGCGGCCAGTCTTCCCATCCCACCATCAGAGGGGAATGCGAAGTCCCTGAAGACGGGACGGGGTGGCCACGAGTGGGCATCATAGCCGACTCAAAATCAAAAGAGACATCATAGCCTCATCGTTGACCGTAATCGTTGGCATTCATGTCATGCGTAGTTGCATGCTCTCCTGGACGGCATGTTTTTTTATAGCGCTAACCCCGAGAGGTCTCGACCCGTTCCTCTGGATCAGCCTTTCGTCCTGAGGTGTCTTCTGATGGTCCTGGGGCCCGGCGAGGCCCCCAGATGCCGAACATTGCAAAATATTCATCGTGTTTTTTTTCACGACGCGAGGGGGTCTGGAACAGGGATCAAGATGCGCGACGAGAGACAGACGACAAGCGACACCGGCAAGAGCTCAGCGCGGCGTTTCACAGCCTGGCAGTCCCACATGGGGTTCCAGCGGATCTCCATGTCGGTATCTTCAACGGCACTCTAGGTCCAGGCCCAGCACGCATGCGCCGGTGCTAGCACGTGTCCATGAGAGCAGTGGCAGTTTTGGTGCCATTGCTTATCGCCGAAAGCCTGGGCACGCGCCACGTCTTGGACGGCTCCAGCCTCATCCAGTCTGGCTTCCGCACGGAGCTCGCGCCGCGGGGGGCCCCTGACGTTGCCCGGCCGATCGGGGCGAACGCGAGCAGCACAGCGGATGCCCCCGCGCCTGCCGCCCTGGGTTGGCTGGGCGGCATGCTGGCAAGGTTCACCGCGAGCACTGGCCTGGATCTGGGCGAGGCGTGGAGGCGGGCTGGACCGCGGGCGGAGCTGAGGCCACCCGTGGGCCGTCCACGGCGCACGCCGCCGAAGGACCCCAAGATGACCGCGCACTCGTGGGTCGTGCTTGCCACCATGCTGACGTGCCTCACCGTGCTCTTCCTGGAGCTGTTTCCGCCCTACCTGGTCCTGCTGACTGGCCTGTGCGTGGTCTGGTGCGCCGGCGTCATCACGACGAGGGACGCGATTCGGGGCTTCAGCAACGACGCCCTCGTCACCGTCGGGGCGCTGCTCATCGTGGTCAAGGGCGTGGACAGAGCAAGGGTCATCGACAGCACCGCGTCGCAGTGCCTCGGCGAGAACTCCTCGGAGCGGATGGCCCTGCTCCGTTTCTGCGGCGTCGTGTTCCTGTTCGGCGCTCAGCTGCCCCGAGGCGCCCGTGCGGAAGCGCACCGCGCACCGTGCTCAACGCGTCCGTGTCGACACGCTGCATGTTGGCTCGGCACGCGTTGGCCCACGTTCTGACGAGCGTGCCGCGCCAGACCTACGCCTTCGGCCCGCGTCCCGAGCCCCGTGTCAACACCCCCCGTGCTGCGTGCTGCGTCTTGGGGCAGCTCGGCCACGCGCAGAGGGGGGGCAGGGGGGGAGAGGGGCCGGCCTTCGTGGAAGGACCCCTGCTGCTGAGAAGCCTCCCCGCCCTCCCCCTAACCTTAAGTCGGGCGTGTCCCCCTACAGGGGGATTTTCGACGAAAAGTAAAAAAACACCCAAAAATACCCCCAAAAGGTCAAAAAATACTCAGAACATAGTCCCCGGAATATGTTTGGAGTATTTTTTGATTATTTGGGGGGTATTTCTCATTTTTCGTCGAAAGCCCCCCCTGTAGGGGGACAGGCCCGACTTAACCCTAACCCCACTGTGCGCGCGGCCAGCCAGCTGAGGTTCGGCGGGGTCATGAACAACACGCCCCTCGTGGCGCTGCTGATGCCGGTCATCAGGCCCGCCGCCAGAGCCGTGCGCGGTCTCCACCGCTCCTGGAGGTCGCGTGCCCGCGGGCGCCTCGGGGGGTGCCGGGCCCGGGCGCCGCCGCCCGGCCTCCTGGAGTAGTGAAAAAAATCATGACGGGAGGTTTTTCCCAATTTTCGGCCCCCGGGGGCCCTCATCTCGGGCCGGGCGAAAGGGGGGGATTGGGAAAGGGGGGGTTACGAAATTTGCTGCATGCAGCTGGTTTCGGCCTCACCGAGGGGCCCATTCCTCGATACATGGCCGCCTCCGGCGCCGGGAGGCGCCGGCAAAATCAGCTCCGCGAGCTGATTCTCAAACCCCCCCTTTGCTATCCCCCCCTTTCGCCCGACCCGATCATCGGGCCTCGAGAGCGTCAAGAAACGACTCAGGATGCAAAGCCGGTCATGGGGAGAGGGTCGGGACCTCTGGGGGTCGACGTAATGAAGAAATCATTACGTCGGGGGTCTGGGCTGCCCGCCCCCCGTGTGGGCGGGAGGCTCGCTCTACGACGTCCTCGGGACGCGTGCTGGCCCAGGGCTCGACGGCGCGTGAGAGTGACCCTTCGCCGGAGGGATCTCTGGTGGGGGCCCACTGGGGTCCCCCCGATCGTGGAGCGCGATGCGGTCATGGCTGCCCGCGCGCTTGGATCTGGTCACCTTGCGCCCCCTCAGTCCGTGCGCTATAAAGGCCACTCCTGCCTGGGGTCACTCTTGCGTGTGGCCGAAGTGTGTGCTCACGGCCGCGGGGGCGGCCGGGGGGGGTGGCTGACGACGGAGGCTGTCGTGTTGAGAGAATCCAGGCGGAGGTCTTCGAGAGTTTTCGCGGGTTCCCGAAGGTCTTCCTGCCCGTGGGTGCTTCCCAGCAGCTGCGCCTCGTCGAGAGCTCTCCGGGCGTGCCCGGATCGCCCCGAACGGCCGTCGGAGGTCCCAGCTACGGTCAAATCGGGCGTGTCCCTCGACAGGAGGAATATTCAAAATGATAAAGAAGCTTTTTGGAGCACTCTTGGTTCTTCGCCCAACTCCGCCTGCAGGGGGACGTGCCCGACCTGAAGCTACGAGTCACCACCCACCAAACCACCCCAACCCAACCCGAAGCCCTCAATTTGCCTTCCATTTCCAGTGGGGGGGGGGTCGGGGAACGTTGAAACAACACATGGAATCCGTACCCCCCCCAACCCGAAATTCGGGTCAAATTCGGGTCTTCGGGTTGGGTTGGGGTGGCCTGGTAGGTAGTCAACGAGTTGGGACTCTCGGGGCAGCGCGTCGCTCCGCTGGCTCTGGCCCGCCGCGCTTCGGTCGCGAGCCGCTGTCCGCTTCCCTGGCCCACGGGCGTCTGCGCCCCGAGCCTCTCCGAGCTCGGGGTCCCCCAGGCGGTGCGGTGACCACGCCGTGCGGTGAGTCCGTGGGGGCTCGGGGCCACCGCACGGCTTTGGGACATTCGTGTCGTTCTCCGAGGACGTCTCGGGCGACGGGGGCCTCCGAGGTCCCAAGACCGTGCGGTGACGGACCGTGCGCGGTGAGGTCTCGGGGGATGTCGAGGTCACCGCACGGTCTGTCACCGCACCGTCTCGGGACTCCCAACGAGCCTCCCGCCCCGGGAAGCGGAGCGGCACGCGGTCCACTCGCAGGGCACAGCGTGTCGCCGCGGCCGCAGCCGGTGACGCGCTGTGCACGAGCTCCTGACCGCACCCCCGGTCGGCTCCGCCGATGGCACGCGGCAGGGTCCTTTTGAAGTCCGATCGATCCGATGCGACATGGGTCTCGTCCAGGTCGATCCGAGCTGACTTCGATTCTCCGCCGATCTGATGCGACACGACGCTTGCACGGCACTGTTGTGCATCCTGGTTCCGCCGATCCGGTTCGATTTCGACTCCGTGCTGACGCGGTCCGACTCGACGCACGATTCCGACTCTATTCGGTTTTCCGATTCGATGCTGACCGATCCTGCGCAGCCCGTGCCCTTGCCCTCGCTGCACCATCTGCGTCGTGTTGAGGGGCCTCGGTGGAGAGGCACACGCTGGTGCCGACACGCGTTCTGAGGGACATCGGGTCGAATCGCGTCACTCCCTGGGGTCCCCGGGGGCAGCACTCCAGGAGTGGTAGAGACGGACGTGTCCTCGCGGTGCATCAGGGACTGGTGCCGTGAGAGGGGGTTTGCCCCGTCGAAGTTCCTCATGCCCTTGGCGTTCGCCTCCATGGGCGGCGGGCAGATGACGATCGTCGGCTCGTCCACGAATCTGATGGTGGCAGGCATGCTGGAGGAGGAGACGGGCGAGACGTTCACGTTCTTCGACCCAGCCAGGGTGGGTGCCATCGTCAACGTGTTCGCCATGGGCTACCTCGTCCTCGTCGGCGTGCGCATGCTGCCCGAGGGGGGTGGGCTCTTCAAGACGCTGAAGGAGAAGAAGGACGACATGGTGACGCAGGTCCAGGTGCTCCCGCACTGCCCCCTCGTCGGCACGGACCTCAGCGAAGCGATGGAGCAGCTGCGGGTCCCCCGGGAGGCTCGGGCCGCACGGAGGGCGGGAGCGGGAAATGGGGGAGGCCACGAGATCTGCGGCATGCAGCCAGTCTCTGCCCCGCCGCCGGGCCCACTCCTCGACGCCTGGGCGCCCCCCCTGGCGCCAGGAGGCGCCAGGCAGACCAGCTGCGTGAGCTGATTCTCTGGGCCTCCTGGCGCCCCCCTGGCGCCAGGAGGCGCCAGGCAGACCGCCAGGCAGACCTGCTGCGCCAGGCAGACCAGGCGCCAGGCAGACCAGCAGGCCCTACCCGTTGCTGCCCTACCCTTTCGTCTTTTCCCCCCCGTTGAGGCCGTGCTGAAGATCTTCCGCCAGCCTCCGCGGCGGAAGCTCAGCAAGCTCCCCGAGGGCGGCCCGCGGCGCACCTCGCCCGCCGGGGACCCGGAGAGAGGCGGCGCCGCGTTCCGGAAGGTGTCCTTCCACGGCGCGGACGAGGATGCGCGGCGCGCTTCGGGGGGAAGGCAGGGGGGGTGGGGTGGGCCTTCTACGAGTTGCTGGTCCAATTTTCCACCACTACTACCACAGGATGTGGAGGTCCTCCTCCTCCTCCTCCTCCTCCTCCTCCTCCTCCTCCTCTGGATCCAGCTGGGACCTCGCTGCTCCCTGGGTGGCTGCGGACTGCGCAACCGTCGCCACTTTCGTGGGCTCCTGGGAGGTCCAGCGGAGCCGGGGGCCACGCGCTCCCATTTGAGACCTCGCTGCTCCCTGGGTGGCTGCGAACTGCGCAGCTGTTGCCATTTTCGCGGGCTCCTGGGAGGTCCAGCGGAGTCGGGGGCCACGCGGATCCAGCCGATACCTCGCTGCTTCCTTGGAGGCTGCGAAGTGCGCAGCCGTCGCCACTCGCATGGGCTCCTGGGAGGCACGGTGGAGATGAGGGCAGCAGTTCAGGCGATGGGTTCTTGTGGGTGGAGCTTTCATACAAAGATTCGCCTCGCGTGGAGAAGGGGTACCTCTCGGGCATATTTTCACGACTTCGGCCCCCAGAGGTCTCGACTCCTTCCCCGCGACCGGCTCTTTGTCCCGAGCTGTTTTTTGATTGTCTCGGGGCCCGATGTGAGCAATCCGGAGGCCGAGACTAGTTTTGGCCCTGAGATCCGACTTCGCGGAACGATCGGATCATCGACGAAACACTCGACCGGAGCCCAGGACGCTCTCTTTCTGTGGCTTTTTTTTGTGCCGCATCGATCCAGAGGGCCTCGGAGCCCGAGGCGAAGCAGCGTCGCCCGCTGTGAAATAAGATGGTGGCGCCAGAATCTCGGGGGAGAAAGCTGTTGCTCGGCGGCCACTCGGATCCAAGCAGCGGCATTCGAGGAAACAAAAACGGCATGAACATACATTTTTGGCGCTCCGAGCGGATTTCTTGGACCCGCGCTGGGGCCCCCTGGCGGCGCCTCTGGCGCCGCCCATGGCGGGCTCCGCGCGCCAGGGAGGGGGGTCCAGCGCAGATCCAAGAAATCCGCGCGGAGCGCCTACAGTCTATATAGGCATGGCAACCGTGGGACGCAACGAATCAAGTTCATGCAGGATGACGTTTATTCGGCGTCACCCCAACATGCTTATAATATATGTGCGTCGCCCCCCCCCCCCCCAGGGGCGACGCGCGCACCGAACAATCTTATAGTATATGCGTCGTGGCGGGCGCCTTCTGGCCACACCGCTCGGGAAACGATGTACTACAAGATGGGTATACTACATGTTCGGGTCGGACGCGCGCCTCCGAGGAGGACATATAGTACTAGTATATCTATGTGCGTCCCAATAGTGGAACGATGTTTTTTGGGGACCGATTCGCAGCTCAGTTTTCCGAATTTTCGGCTTCGTCTTCGCTCTGGCGCCGTCTGGCCCGTCGACTGTCTGGGCGCGAGCCCGACCAGGGCGCGGATAGGGAACGATCAAAAGGCAGTCTCCCGGCCAGGGGCCCGTTTTTCTTGTCCTCATCCTGAGCGCCGCCGCGTGATCGCGGAGGAGGAGGAGGCGGAGGAGGAGGAGGAGGAGGCGGAGGAGGAGGAGGAGGAGGTGGTGGAGGAGGAGGAGGAGGAGGCCCTTTGGTCCGGCAGGGCCTGTGGTGACCATCGTCTTTTGGTTTTCGGGCCATAACTTAGGTCCTCGGCGGCCGTCTGGGACGATCCAGGCCCCCTGCCCTCTCGGCGAGTCGCAGCCGCTGGAACGCAGCCCGTCCGAAGTTGGGAATCCGCGGAGAGCCGACGAAAACGCCTGAAAACTTGAACCTCGAGCTTTGGAGAAGCCCCGCCGCCTTCTCGAGAAGGCCTGCCTGCCCCCTAATTATACCCTCTCCCTTTTGTGCGGAGGAGGAGGAGGAGGACGAGGGGGAGGAGGAGGAGGAGAACGGGGAGGAGTGAGTGAGTGAGTGAGTGAGTGAGTGAGTGAGTGAGTGAGTGAGTCAGTGAGTGGGTGAGTGAGTGAGTGAGTGAGTGAGTGATAGACGACGGTCGCGAAGCGAGCTCCGGTGGATTACGACGCCCGACGAGCCAACTCTGCTCGGCTGCGGACCTCAGGCCAGCGCCCTGCGAGAATAATATATATATATATATATATATAGATATTCATATACATATATATATATATATATATATATATGTATATATATATATATATACATGTCGGAGTAGGCCGAGGGGGGGCCCAGGCCGGTGCCATCATCCTCCATGGGCGCCCCCCGGAACCTTTGGGGGGTCATGGACCCCCCGGGACTGCCCCGGGCCGCTTCCAAATTGCCCACGACAGGCCACGCGGGCCGTACAGGTGGTCAAGAAAGCCTCAAGCGGCCCCGAAGACGCCCAAGAGCGACCCAAGAGGGCCCGAGATGGCTTGAAGATGGCCGACGAGGGCCCCAAGAGGGCCCTCAAGAGGTAAACATCTGCCCATTCCCCTCGTAAAACGTTCATTTTCAGCATACTCGCTGGCTTCGTCTTCACAGTGCCCCAGACGCCCCCGCGGAGCCCCAACACAGCCCAAGAGAGACCCAAGAGGGCCCAACACGGCCCAAAAGTGTCGGCCTGTGGGGCTCACGGAACCCCCCGAGACGGCCCAAGAAGCCCCAAAGCCGGCCCAGGAGGCCCCCAAGACGGCCTCAGGGAGGCCCAAGAGGGCCTCGTTCGAAATCATGTTCCCCGGAAGCCTCTCCGGGAACATGATTTCCAGGTTCCCAGGATCGATCACGAATTCGTGCTGGATTAGCGAGCAAACGCAACTTTGCACCTCTTGACTTCACATCCCATTTGCGGATATCACGCTCACCGACGTGAGTTTCCACAACCCCGATGAAGACATGCTTGCCAGAAGAAAGAAGATGCCATGTTCTGTCTCCAGTGCATGTCACACTGGAGTGAAATAATGTTGAGGTGGTCTCTGGAGATGATCTCACCTCTCCCCCGTGCTGCAGTCGCTCGGAGCCCTCGATCGTGTCGCCCACAGTCGGAGGCCCGCAGCTCCGCAGCTGCTGGTCCCAGCGGAACCTAGGGCTCCCTCGAGGGCGCGAAGTTATTCGCGCTTCGCGCTTCGCGGTCCTCGTTCCTTCTCCCCCTCCTCCTCGTCCTCCTATTCTCCCTTCGGGGGGGCGGCGCGAGGGCGCGAAGTTATTCGCGCTTCGCGCTTCGCGCAGCGCGAAGCGCGAAGTTGGGAGCCCTAGCTAGTCATTTGGCAGCCTTGGGCGGCTTGGCGGCTTGGCACTTCCAGCCCCAGGCTCGCCCTTGCCTCTGGTGGATGGCTGCGAGCCCTTGCCCTTGCCGATGGGCTGCGCCGCGTTCTGCTTCCGCTCCTCGAGCAGCTTCTCCTGAGCCTCGCGCTTGGCCTCCGTCAGCTTCTCGGCGGCCTCGCGAGGCTCCTCGTCATCCTCGGTGTCGACGGCCTGGCTCACGCCATCGTTGTCGTTCGAGGCATCTGCTCCACCGCTGGTGGGCGCCGCTGGTGGCGCCGTGGCGGGGGCCGATGCCTCGTCGCTGCCAGCCTGACCCTCGACAACTCTACGCTTCTTGGCCATCTTGTTCTGCACCGCCGCGCGCACCTCCGCGGCCTTGGACAGCACGTTGTCCACCTCGGTCTCCTTCGCGCTGAGGAGTGCTGGCAGCGCCGTTAGGCCCGACTGCAGCTTGCGCATGTCAGTGCGCTCGGCCTTCTCGCACTCGAGGTCGTCCAGGTCCTCGAAGATGTTGGTGTCCACCTTCAGCTCGAACTTGGGCGAGGCAGAACCTGGCGCGCCTGCGGCCGCCGCCAGCGCAAGGCCCTCGGCTGCCGCCACGGCTGCCGTCGCCTGCGTCTTGGCCCGCGCTGCCTTGGGCCAGGAGCAGCCCCGCCGCTGCCGCCTTCTCCTGCAGCCTGCGCTGCGGTGAGCGCTTGCTGGAGCCCGACCACGTTGTCCACCGCCTGGGAGTGCTTGTGGTCTGCATCCTTGCACGCACTGGCAGCACGTCGCACAGCTTCAGCAGCCGCATGCGACGCGTCCATCGAAGCGCCTGCTGTCGGCGGGGACAGCTGGTCGACTCTCGCCTGGAGCGCCCTCTTCAGCTGCTGATCCTCCGTGTTCTGGATCGTGAGCCGCAGCAGTGAGACCTCGTCCCGTGGAACTGCCTTGGAGGAGCTCTCACTGGCCTTTGCCACCCTTGACGCCAGACTGGTCAACATCATCACCATACTTTGACTTTTGAAGCTTGACCTGCCTCTTGCAGCTCGGGCACTGTCTGTTGTTGGCCAGGAGCGTGGTGTTCCATGCAGCACGTCCGCAGCTGCAACGAGACCACAAGTGCCCATGGCTGGCCATGCTGTGAAAAAAGACAGACTGAATATGCTGTCTTAGTTGTCTTCGGGAGCGACTCACTGGAGCTCTCGCAAAGAAATGCCCCAAACACCTCGTGCAGGGAGGGACAGGAGACGGGCTCGCCAAAACGGTTCGAGCCCAAGTTGCTTGAGGGAGGAGGAGGAGGAGGTCGAGGAGGAGGGGGAACATGGCTGAGGAGCAGGGCGAGGAGGGTGATGCTGATGATAATGATGATGATTATGATGATGATAATGATGATGATGATGATGATGATGATGATGATGATGATGATGATGATGATGATGATGATGATGATGATGATGATGCTGATGCTGATGCTGATGCTGATGCTGATGCTGATGCTGATGCTGATGCTGATGCTGAATGCTGATGATGATGATGATGATGATGATGATGATGATGATGATGATGATGATGATGATGATGATGATGATGATGATGATGATGATGATGATGTGATGTGATGTGGATGATGATGATGATGATGATGATGATGATGAGAGGAGGAGGAGGAGGAGGATGAGGCGTTCGCCCCTGGGGCGCCGCCGGATAGGACCGCACACGCCGCCTGTGGGGCATCGCGGAGGGGCGCCCCCGCGCGGCGTCCGACTGGGCGCCGGGGCCCCGGGGCGACGCGGCCGCCCAGGGCCTGGGAGAGGAGGACCCGCAGATCAGCACGATCGAAATGGATACCCAGATCCCCATCTCCTCCTCCTCCTCCTCCTTCTCCTTCTCCTCCTCTCCTCCTTCTCCTCCCTCCTCCTCCTCCTCCTCCTCCTCCTCCTCCCCTCCACCTCCTCCTCCTCCTCCTCCTCCTCCTCCTCCTCCTCCCCCTCCTCTCCTCCTCCTCCTCCCCCTCCTCAACCCTCTCGCGCCGTGAAACCATCTCGACAGTGGGAGGCGTTTCGCTATCTTCGGCCTCTGGGGGCCCTTACCAGGCCTCGGGGCCGTCAAGAATGGATTCAGGGTGAAACATGGGTCCCGGGGAAGGGGTCCAGACCTGTCGAGTTGCCCAGATCCCCTCGAGTTGGGAAAAACCACGACGTTCGGTTTTTCACCAATTTTGGGGCCCGGGGGGCCCCGACCGGACCGTCAAGAACCGACTCAGGGTGACTGTGAAGCCGGTGCTGCGGAATGGTTCGAGACCTCTGGGGGTGGATGTTATGAAGAAGACGTGGCGCAGGTGTCTGGGAGCGGAGAGCATCTACAGCCACGATGCTGAAATAAGGAACAGTTTGGGTTCGGAAGGGCTTGGATGTTCCTTAGGTCCCTCCGCGATCGTTCCCCTAGCCCTCCACGTGCACCCAGCGCTTCGCTCCTTTACTTCGCGTTCCTTACTTCAGCATCCCGACTGCAGGCTCCCCGGGCGGGGTCGGAGGATCGCGCCGCATCCCCGGTGCATCGGCGACGCGGCTCGACGTGGAGCCAGTTTTCCTCGACGCCAGCGTCGCCGATGAGTTTGCGATGCCTCGCCGATGCATCGGTGATGAGGCGCGGTCTTACGATCCCGTCGTCTCCGACCACGTCTGCGTAGAAATGATGGGGCCGGCAATCATCGAAACGGGCAAGAGGCATGGTCGACGATCGAAGCCCAGCCCCCCGCGCGTCGTGAAACAAATCAAGGCTGACGTTTTTTTTTTTTTTTTTTTTTTTTTTGGTTTTTCTCTTTGTTTGTTTTGTTTTGTTTCTTGTTGTTTTTTGTTTTTTGTTTTGTGCTTTTTATGTTTTTTTTTCCCCCCCTCCCGTTTTCTGTCGTTGGGTGCCCTCGCTGGTCTCCGGAACCGTCAAAGCGACTCGGGATGAACAGTCGTTCCCAGGGAACCGGTCGAGACTTCCGGGGGTCGACGTTCTGAAAAATTATGGCGTCGGGGATTTGGGAACGGACGGAAAGCATGTGGACGAATACCGACAGCAGTTTCTGCCCATTTTGAGCAGGAGTCACTGTCGGTGTCGCCACGGACGGTGTCCATTTGAGACAGCAAGTCGCCTGCCCAACAGCGGCCGCTGTCGGTGTTGGACAACATTTGTTGTTGGGCATTGTGCCTATTGTTTCCGTCCCCATGTCGGGTGTGCCGAGCAGAAGGCATCTGTGCACCACCACTGCGACCTCTATCGAGCCTTGCCTCTGCGGGTCCAATCAGCAAGTTAAGATCTGCAGTCTTCTGACGTTTCGTCGGTTTTCGGCGGTTTTCCAGCCTCTGGATGCGCTTTAGCAGCTGTGCTTCGTCGAGAGCTTTCCAGGTGTGCTGGGTCGTCCCGAACGGCCGCGGGAGGCCCAAGTTATGGCCCGAAAGTCCAATCGGCGCTGGGGTATCGGACACCCCCCTCACCTGGCCGCCGACGTCCTTCAAACTCTCTGAAGCTCTGATTGGTTGTTAAGAAGTCTGACCTGCAGGGGTAAGTCTCACACGTTAGATTTCTGTTTTGGGGACCTTCCTTGGGCCCACCTATCGGACCTGCTCGACTCCAGCTCGAATCCAGTTCCACTCTAGTTCGACTCCAGGTCGATTCAAGCTCGACTTCGGTGCAAGTTTGACTTAGCATGACGCATGAGCGGAACGATTCGTCCCAGGAAGGCCCCCAGACAGGGTTTATTTCGATCCGATCGATCCGATTCGATGCCGATTCTGTCTGGCTGGCTCGATCCGATTCGATTCCGATATTCGATGATCCGATGAGGCCCGATGCTCGCATGGCGCTGCCGTGCATCCTGGCGCAGCCGATCCGATTCGACTCCGGATCCGTGCCGAGGCAGCCCGATCCGATGCACGATTCGACCCGACCCGATTTGCCGAATCACAATTGCACATGGTTGGGCCCTCCTTCGCCAGGATAACATGTAGACGCTCGCCCGACCCTGTTTCGACACTGTTTTGACACTCTTTTGACATCTTTCTGGGTGCTCGAAATTATTTCTGGGATGCGGTCCTGCCCGTGCGCGCGGCCGGGGCGCGTCCGCGTGGCGGGGGTGGCGTGCCACCCGCGCGCGGCAGACCAAGGGGGCGGCGAGGGCGAGCGGGTGGGGGGCGGGGCCGTCCTCTTTGTCCTCGCTCTCGTCCTCGTCGTCGTCCTCCTCCTCCTCCTCCTCGTCCTCGTCCTCCTCTTCCTCCTCCTCCTCCTTTTCCTCCTCTTCCTCCTCTTCCTCCTCCTCCTCCTTCTCCTCATCCCTTTTGTCCTCCTCCTTATCCTTCCTCCTCCTCCTACTCGTCCTCCTCCTCCCTTTTGTTCTCCTCATCCTCAGGCCTTTTCCCCTCCTCCTCCTCCTCCTCCTCCTCCTCCTCCTCCTCCTCCTCCTCCTCCCTTTTCTCCTCCTCTTCTTCTTTCTCCTCCTCCTCCTCCTCCGCCTCCTCTTCCTCCCTTTTCTCCTCCTTCTTCTCCTCCTGCCTTTTCTTCTCCTCCTCATTGATCTTCTTCCTCTTCTTCTTCCTCTTCCTCTTCCTCTTCTTCTTCCTCTTCCTCTTCTTCTTCTTCTTCTTATGTTTCCTCTTCCTCTTCCTCTTCCTCTTCCTCTTCCTCTTCTTCTGCTTATTTTTCTTCTTATGATTCTTCTTCTTCCCATTATTATTTTTATGATTCTTCTTATTCTTATTATTCGTCTTCTTCTTCTTCTTATTCTTTTTCTTCTTCTTCTTCTCGTTCTCCTCCTCCTCCTCCTCCTCCCTTTTGTCCTCCTCCTCCTCCTCCCTTTTCTTCTCTTCTCTTCTCTTCTCTTCTCTTCTCTTCTCTTCTCTTCTCTTCTCTTCTCTTCTCTTCTCTTCTCTTCTCTTCTCTTCTCTTCTCTTCTCTTCTCTTCTCTTCTCTTCTCTTCTCTTCTCTTCTCTTCTCTTCTCTTCTCTTCTCTTCTCTTCTCTTCTCTTCTCTTCTCTTCTCTTCTCTTCTCTTCTCTTCTCCTCTCTTCTCTTCTCTTCTCTTTCTCTTCTCTTCTCTTCTTTTCTCTTCTCTTCTCTTCTCTTCTTTCTCTTCTCTTCTCTTCTCTTCTCTTCTCTTCTCTTCTCTTCTCTTCTCTTCTCTCTTCTCTCTTCTCTCTCTCTCTCTTTCCTCTCTCTCTCTCT